GACGGCTTTATTGGGTCTCTTTAAAAATGAACACAACCAGCCTTAGCAGGAGAGTTGGTAGTGGCTAGAAAGCCTAATTCACACAGCCATATGCTGCAAACATCCGCTGTTTATTGTTCAAGGACAAGATAGGTTACTCAAAGAAAGGATGATCTGTCTGAAACACATTATGCATAATGCAGTAAAGAAAAAAAATATATATACAGCGCAAAAATCAATATAAATACTACATAAGAATTGTGAAATGCTGATCAGGAAATACAGTATCTTTATTTCCCACAGTGTAGACAGCTTTGTTTGTTCCTTGCTATGTGTTCATGGGTTGGAAATAAAATTGATATGAGGTTGTTATCTCCTCTGAGTCTTTGAAATATGCAATACACAAATTACATCTGTCACTGTGTGATTTATTGCTCGTCTAAAGAAAACACAGAGATAGTGTCGGAATATGGGATTTCATAGCTAGCCCAATTAATAATTGATGGAACAAACGCATTGATCAATAATTTGAATTGAAAAAAAACGGCAAAAAAAAAAAACAGTACAGCATAAGAAAATGATGGAACGAGATGAGAAATGATTATTAGAACTGCAGGACGGGTTTTTATCTCGAAGAGCTCCACTTCTCTGCCATATGTTGTGTAGGCAATTGAATATATAAATATTGATATATACCATATTTACAAAGATCAAAAATCTCAACCCCATAGTTCCTTGGTACCTCGTGCAAACTAATTTTCCATTTTCCTCTGTTAAGATGTTTGATATGGCCAAGCCCAAAAAAGTAATTCCCAAAGATGATGACTTTCACGAATGAGTTGACTCAAGGCAACATCTGAGCAAATTTACAGAAAAGTGATACATTTGCAGTAATGCAATTAGAAACGTTTAGGTTATAATGTTCCTGTTGGATAGCATCCAATAGGGTAGAATGTTCCTGCTAATTTTTCCTATTTGACTATTTACCATGGGACATTGCTAGGCGCTATAACCACTAAAGTAGTAGACTGCCCTTTAAAGGGTTACTCAAAGAACCTGGACCACTTCACTGATTTGAAGGTATCATGGTGATTGGAGTCTTTCTGAGCAGCGTTTCGCTATGGAACACTGAACATACAGAGTTAAACCTCTTTGCTGTCTGAGGTGACACTCCTCATACAACAACATAATGTGGGTATCACTAGACAGCACAGAACAAAAGTTCCAAGTTCTGTGCATACTGGACCTCTGTTGTCAGAATGTTGGTGATAGCCGTCCAATGGCCTCTTCCTCCAAGCCACCCATGTCCTCCACTCAGTTTGTTCTTCCTCTACATCCCTCAACAATAAGAAGTGACATCCGAGTTAGAGGATCGGGTTGAAAAACTTGGCCTAGGGGCTTGACCAGTGGTAAGGTTATGCATTATTTATTTATTCTGAGGGGCAGGAGCAAGTTAAAAATGGCTACACTAACCTAAACCAGTACTTTCTTTAAAAAACTGGTATTTGTTGGTTGGAGTAAACCTTTAAGGGGAGCAGTCAAAAGATTCAGAGTCCAGTCTAGATTAAGGAAATGCTGGACTTTCAAAAGACTTTGGTCTACACTTCCCATAAGCTCACAGTCCCATTACATATGAAGGAACAGTTCTAGTGACCAACAAAATATGTTTCAAAGAGAGAGTTTGGACTCGTATGTTGAGAGGTACCCTTGTAGCAGTTCATTTGGACTCATATGCAAGAAGTGGTTACTTAAGAATTAGAGAAGACCTTGCACCAAAACCTTTAAATAAAAAGTTTCTCCATAGGTTGCCTTTTGACTTTAAAACGTAGGCAGATTGCTCATAAAAATCTAACTTCATAAATGAATGTGCTAGTATAGCAAGGGAGTTTATTTAGAGTGAGGTTTGTGAGACACCCCTGTGTTTAGATTACTGAGGGTATTTATATAGATATGCTCATGTGAAACAAAACAAAAAATTGGCTAGTGTGAAAATCAGCCAAATCATATATGATACTTTAAGAGCTGGATCTCATATTCTAACAAGATGATTACTATCCTAGTAAGATTATACATTAGGAGGCACAAACTCTAAGGGACATCCCTTTGCCTACCAAGCATACACCAGAATCCTAGAACTCTTCCTTAACTGAAATGAATGTAAGAGAGTTGCTGTTTAGGAAATTTTCAGCATGTCCCATCACATTCCATCTGCCCCTCTCTCCCCCCATACATTGCCTGGTAACATACTGAAGCTGTGTAGTGGACTACAATGTTTTAAGGAATCAAAGTAGACAAAACATGAAACCTTTTTTAAATATTCTGGCCACTGTGCATTACTACAAAACCAATCAGCATTTTATAAATGCTACAAACAATGGCCAAGCACTGATGTCTGCAGTGACCGAAATACGTACCAAGAGCAGCTGTAGCTTTTCCGACCACATAGACTGGTTTTGAATTCCATTTGTCTTTCAGACATTTCTCCCACACTGAAAAGAAAATTAGAATTTAAAATAAAATATACTAATTGACATAATCCACCAACAAATATTATTGCAATAAATAATTTTCTTGAATTACTTAACTTTATTTTAAACAGTGTTACATATTTGTAAAAGTGAACCTAAATCTGTATAGATGTTTCAATGTATAAATCAATAAAGCAGAAACTATTGTGGATTTTTGGGGCGGCATGCATGTTAATCAATATTTTGATATACCAGTGATGGGTGGAGTCTTTTTTGGCTTAAAGGAACACTATAGGGTCAGAAATACAACCATGTATTCCTGACCCTATAGTGCTAAACCCTCCATTAAAGGTGGCTTGCCCCCCTCTGGCCCCTTAAAAGCAATTAAAACTCACCTTATTTCCAGCTGCCGCACGAGTCCGCCGGGGAGCTCCGCCCCCTTGGTGACATCGGAATTGCAGATATTTAGCCAATCCCATGCTTTCCCATAGGAAAAGCATGGGATTGGCAAAAATTGCCCAGGGGGTGGGGCAAAACACCTTTTTGCAAAATCAGCACCTCCTCATAGAGATGCATTGAATCAATGCATCTCTATGAGGAAAATTCAGTGTCTCCATGCAGAGGGTGGAGACGCTGAATGGCAGGGCTGCTTACTGTGCAGCACTGAGCCAGGAAGCACCTCCAGTGGCCATCAGATGAGTGGCCACTTTGAGGTGCCCTTAGGGGCAATGTAAACACTGCCTTTTCTCTGAAAAGGCAGTTTTTGCATGAAAAAGCCTGAAGGGTATGATTATACTCACCAGAACAACTACATTAAGCTGTAGTTGTTCTGGTGACTATAGTGTCCCTTTAAATTAGCGCGACCAGTGGACACCATTCCTCTTTCTGATCCCTGATAAATGTGCCAGGAGGCAAAGAAATGTGGGTCAGACCTTTCAGATGTGGGTTAGTGATTTGTGTGTTCTTGCGGTGCTTGAGCTACTTAAGCAATCTCCAGTGTTCTAATACTTTCGATTAGCATGCCCATAACTCTGATGTAAATCACAAGATCAACTGAGCAGACTTTGGAGTTTTACTCCTATGACCCTCAGACATTTAGCAAATTTAAGAAAGAATTTTAGTCACAGTAACTCAAATTAATCAGATCCTAAAGAGAGTGAGCGCTGCAGTGGATTTGTGTGTGAGACCTTTGGTATAATTATGCAGCGAAACAATTGTTAAAGGGACACTATAGTCACCAGAACAACTACAGCTTAAAGTAGTTGTTCTGGTGAGTATTATAGCTCCCTTCAGACATTTTCATGTAAACACTACCGTTTCAGTGAAAAGGCAGTGTTTACATTGCCCCTAGGGACACCTCCAAGTGGCCACTCCTCAGATGGCCACTGGAGGTGCCTCCTGGCTCAGTCCTGCACAGTAGGCAGCAGTGCCGTTCAGCGTTACCACGCTCTGCATTGGGACGCTGAATTTTCTTCATAGAGATGTATTGATTCAATGCATCTCTATGAAGAGGTCCTGATTAGCCAAAACGGCATTTAGTTCCGCCCCATGCCGATTTTAGACAATCCAATGCGTTCCCTATGGGAAAAGGGGGCGGAGGCAGTGCCGTCAGACCCGTGCGGCGCTGGAAATAAGGTGAGTTTTAAACTTTTATAGCAGGGCAAGCCACCTAAATGGTGGGTTAAAAACTATAGGGTCAGGAATACATGTTTGTGCTCCTGACCCTATAGTGATCCTTTAATGTAAACACTGCCCTTTCAGAGAAAGGGAAAGCATTGGATTGGCTGAAATAGTCAATTCTGATGACCTCAGCCAAAGAGATGGATCGGGGGAGAAGCCAGTGCCAGCAGACCCACGTCGGGTCTGGAATAGAGGTAAGAATATGATTTATTTAAAGAGTGCAAGGGGGAGCCAGGGACCTAAATTGTGTTAACACTATAGGGTCACGTTTGTATTCCTGACCCTATAGTGCTCCTTTAACTTAAATTGGCTACACTGTAGTGTGCATTATATTCTGCTACATTATCATCTGTTTTAACATTAACGGTGTAGCTCCACCTTTTGCCAATTCATAGCTCCTTCTCTATTTTTTTTTTTTAATTCTTTATTTTATTGTCCAAAAATAAATAAATCACAAATTGTCTTGCACTGCTACAACAGCTTGTGTGAGCCCATAACTGTTATACATTTGAGAACATGAACATAGCAGGTGAGGAATGTTGCACATTTTTTAAAATATAAACATAGCAAGGTAGCTGAGCATACATAGACATCAACTTAAGTGGTGACATTGGATTCCTGAGTTGTTTTAGTGCTTTGGGCAGGACACCGCTATTGTTTAAGTAAAAAATAAGAAACAAATTTAGTATTGGTTGTCATGTTAAATTCCGCATTTAGTCAGACAGTGGGTCCTAGGCTCTGTCTCCCCGGACTATTTGCTCCTTCTCTATTTTTGATGGTGACTTAACTTCTCTCTTCACTTATTCATATCATATAAAAATGAAAAATTATCTTGCACTCCATATATAAATTAACTTGCCCGGTGCTCGTCAAATCAAATGCATAGAAGATCCTCCAGATAGCACTCTCAGGACTTGTCAAAGACTAAAACTTAGCTTTTAATTAGCTTTCCATAAAACATCAACATTGATGTTTTATGGAAAGCAAATTAAAAGCTAAGTTTTAGTCTTTGACAAGTCCTGAGAGTGCTATCTGGAGTATCTTCTATTCATATAGCATTTGGTCTTCATGGTAAAGATCTATTTTGGAACAGTTTATATTAACAAGAGCCATATAATTCTGGCTAATATTTACCGGTTTTTCATACGCTCGCTAAAATCATACATATAATTAATTCACATGATATAGATCTAGGCTGGAGCTATACAGATGTATATTCTAGGCCAACACCTGTTTGTTCAATAGACTTTTGCATTTTTAATCTCTGCTAATGTATACAATTTAAAGGGACTCCTTGACAGTCTCATCCAATCCTACGGGAAAGCATTGGGATTGGTTTTTAATTCCCACTTCTGATGATGTCAGCCAAGCAGGCAGATCAGGGGCAGAACCAGCAGCAGGCTTGACTAAAATTAAGATTGTGCTATATTTAGGAAGATAATGGGAAGCCAGTGGGAGTAGATAGATGGTGGTTTGAACACTATAGGGTCAGGACTACATGTTTGTGTTCCTGACCCATTAGTGTTCCTTAAACCACTGCTATCTTTCACTATTAGGTTTCACTTTTTTGTTGTGCAGTATGTTTTTTCTATAGTTCCATATACATAATTTTTCTATTTAAATAAATGTTGCATAAAGTTATTGGTATTTGCTCTGTTCTTTTTATTTTAAATGAAGGCAATCCCTCTTGGTGTCACCTTGAGGGTACACTTTTTGTAAATACCAGTGACATTTAAAATTTATAGGGGTTACCCCAGTGTAAGATTTTGCCTGGATTACTTAATTTAGCCCCATTAAAGGGCTTTTTTATAATAGATATTGTTGATTTTGTCGCAGATTTCAGAATGTACCCACTTATGTTAGGAAACAAATACTAATCTAACTTTACTGCTTTGCCATAAACAATGTAGTTCCTAGATCTAACCACAATAATCTATATAGACACACACTACAACCCTAAGCCTTCTCATTCCATATTACAAGCCTTCATATTTGTCTCTATAAATAAGCTCTGAAGATCCTCAGCCACAAACAGAGAACGTATCTGGTAGAGGGAAGGCATATAATAAGATTAACTTGCAAGCACAGAAGAGTATATAATAAAAACAACTGAAACCAATAAATACATTTTATGAGAACAGATTATTGAAGCCATGAATTAGATTAGAAAACTGGATCAAGCCATTTAAAAAAAATAAAAGATTTTTATTTGTATACAGTCATAAAATGTATTCCCATACTAGTAATCAAATTTGATGTTACTGTGTGCATTCACATGTTATATACTGAACCAAATGTCGGCAAAGTATAGAACAGTGTGTATCCTTTCGTCAAACTGTTAGAGACTGAACATGCAAGTCTTAAAAGGAGAATATCCAACCCATGAATTGCAGACTAACCTTCTCTGATCTTGGATGACTGGCCGTTTACGATGCCTTCCAGATCTTAATCAGACACTCCAAGCAAGATTTGACCCATTTATTTTTATGCATTAGTGCATACGTGCTGAAATGTATTTTAAATATTCAGGTGTTGAAGCTACTGCAACAATCTCTGCCCAGACAAGGAAGATACGCTCTACCTTTCTAAAATATCGATGAGCCTATTTCACTGTAACGGCTTACCTTGGTTGGGAGTCTGTAGCGCAGATATATGCTCACCCTTGCAATTAAACACAGGCCACGGTGGTCATTTGCGTTGAGCTAAATGGTGTTAAGGTAGGCCAGGGAGATGGTCAATCAGCCTGATGTGCAATCATGCCAGCCTGACATGTCCCCCATTTTGGATGAACACCAGTTTTATAGTTTAAAGGGATACTCCAGACCCCTAAAGAACTTTAGTTAGCTGAAAAGCATTGAAGTAACAATTGCTCAAAGCACCTCCATTGGAAAGGCTTCTCATTGAGCTGCATTGGGAAGTCTGTGATTGGACAGTCAAAGAAAGTGTGGGCAGGGTTATTAGGGGAGGGCTTGTAAAGGCGGCAACTGCATTTTTTACAAGCTGTTTTTAGATTATAACCCAATAAAATATACTTAATTAAATGCATATGGTCATTTGGACTATATATCAACTAAACAGTGATTTTGATTCTAATTTGGGCAGTGGAGTGTCCCTTTAACCCCTTAAAGACACATGATATGTGTGACATGTTATGATTCCCTTTTATTCCAGAAGTTTGGTCCTTAAGGGGTTAATAGGCTGACAAGCTCTTTTTTTTTTTTTTTTTTAACTGGGGCCACCACGTATTGCAGCCCTCTTCTTGACTCTAACCCAAGATTCTCACAGATAAAAGTTAGGAGCTTCAATAGGAAAGTGTTGGGGAAGAGCTCTCGGACTGCTTATATCACGTATTTACCTATTAACACTAAATTAGTAAATACATTTTTAAAAATGGAACCATTTAGGGTGGGGAAATAAGAATATTTAATCTACCTGAAATTTGAAGACATGAAATGCAAGGCAATGTATTTTTACTGAAAAACACTGCTGAAATAAATAAAAGGTATGCCTGACATTATAGCAGATATATTGTACCTACCCATTAGGTCACATATTTCTAATCTTGAATTATCTTAATTTTCTACTTCATTCTTTTAAAGCAACACAATACTTTTTATCAACGCACAGTATTTTTATCAACACATTTTTACTGTACGGAGAAAAACTTGGAATTGCAGTTTGTTTCATTATTTAACTTAACTCTTTATTTTTTTAATATCCTGTACTGTAATATTTTACTAGTATCCATGGATCGTTAAGTATACTAATCAGGTTATTTTTCAGCAGCAGATCAATACAGAATACAATGATGTAATTTACTCTAATCACTGCAGATCAATGCTTACGGGTGCCCCCTCCCTATCTCATTGTATAAACTGTATTTGTGCTTTTCAAACAATAGTTTATACCAGTAATTGGCGAATGTATCATTTTCAGACTGCCATAAAGGTATCCTAACATTAAAGGGACACTATAGGCACCCAGATCACTTCATCTCATTGAAGTGGTTTGGGTGCAGTATCACTGTCCCCCTTAGTCCTGCAATATAAATCATTGTAGTTTTCAAAAAAACTGTAGTTCCTGTAGTTACACGGAGTTTGACTCAGTGAAACAAGGCTGGATGTCCTCACACTCTGCATGAGGACATCCACCATCAGGGGAAACCCCATAGGAATGCATTGAGGCAATGCATAAGGTCTTCTCATTGCATGTCGGAGGAGGCAGACTGCGACCCACTGCCGAGGGACCTCAGTGCTGGAATCAGGTAAGTGAATAAAGGGTAAAAACAAAATGGAGGCTCTTTAGTTTTATTCCAATGGCCATTTGAATAAAGAGCCTCCATTTTGTTTAAATGTACATGGGGATTTAGGCCAGAGGGCAGATTACGTTCTCTTTGTTTTTACTATGTATTTTAAGCTATTGGGGGGCCACGTGGATTAAGGAACACGTTACTGTTAGAAATACAAAGATGTATTCCGAAAACTAAAGTCTTTAAGAGATCCATAGCAGAGTCTTAAAAACTACTAAACAATTGAAAAAAAAGGGACACTGCATATAACAAAGCTTCAAGACCTCATTAGTTAGAACCTCATGCGGAAATACACACAATATACATATCCTATAAACCCTTGCCATCATTTTCTTATTCAAGTAAATTAGACTTAAAAAAAGTTATTCACTAAAACACAAGTTTAGCTAAATAAATCCAAATGTCAAAAGGGCCTTTTTGCCTTTTCTGGATTTCATTTGATAAAATCTGGCATTTAGTATTTAGCACTGTAAAGTGTGAATTGCTTGGAACTCCAAGTGAATTTCAAAATTTTAGGTCAGCTATTTTCATTCACTTTTAATTCCAGACAATTTAAACTTTTAGTGAATAATCCTGTATAGAGTTGCTTCTAAATGAGATCTCTCTATTTAATTTGTGGTTTCAGCAGCAGGCATAATATTTTGTAAATCAGATTCATTTTATTCTGCAATACATAAGCAATCAAGTATTCATATTATCTGTCATAGTTAATTATGGCTCAGTCCTACTTTCTGCTCTCAAACAGTATGTCTGACTCTGAATTTTGACCCTGTATTCTACAGTAAAATCTTACCTTTATTCCAGTATGCTGCTGCTGCTGCAGCCACTGCTGCTATCTCTACCCCTGATCTGCCTCCTCGGCTGACATCATCATAGGAAAGCAATAGATTGGCTGAAAATCAATACATCTCTATTGGGAAAGTTCAGTGTATTCACGCAGAGGGTGGAAAAGCTGAATCTCAGTCCTGCACACCGTGCAGCACTGCCCCAAGAAGCACTTCTAGTAGCCATCTGAGGAGTGGCCACTGGTGGTGTCCCTAGGGAGCAATGAAAACACTGTCTTTTCTCTGAAAAGACAGGGTTTACTGCAAAAAGCCTGCAGGGACTAACTATACTCACCAGAACAAATACATTAAGCTGTAGTTGTTCTAGTGACTATAATGTCCCTTTAACTTGGAAATCCATCCTCTGGGTTCTCTCTGCAGTACAAGGCTACAAAAGCCCTGGAATGAGGCATCTCTGAAAAATAGAGGTGCAAAACCAAGGGAGTTCGTCTGGACTCTCATACTTATGGAACCATCGAGCAGAGGGACTGCCGGTGCATTGGGGATTTTTGGAGTGTTCTGTACACCACACTACTGAGCTGTATTAATAGTGCCTATATATTGGAAAATCACTTGGAAGTATTCTGTTTTGGATGTTAAAGCAGCTCTGTCATGAGAGAATTGGTGACCCTCTCCCCCTTTTTTGATCATGTGCGTGTTGACGTTTTGCCAAGGACTCATACCCACAAATGCAAATTATGGAGCCCTTTCCCTATACACAAAGACGTATTACTGGGCCCTAGAATGGCCGGACCTAACATAGATAGGCGTATAGAATAAGGTAGAGCATAGTCAGACAGGCCAAGGTCAGGAGAGCAGATAGCAGGATAACAGTAGAACAAAGCTAAGTGTCAAGGATACCAGAGTAACGGATAAACCAGATACAAAGCCACGGGTCAAGGAAACCAGAGTAACGGATAAACC